TTTAACCAAAGGGGCCTGGGACATCATACACAGAACAGATTAGCCCAAATACTGTGAAGCAGCAAATCATCGCTTCCTTCATGGCTGACAGGAAGGTGGAGTGAAAAGCATGCAGAGGAAATTTAAAAACAAAGGATTTGCTGAAAAGTGTTTCCAAAAAAAATTGCACACCAACTCTTCCCGATACTATAACTAGAGCAGAAATCTGCAGACCAGGCATCGCAATTCAGCAGACATTTAGGTTCATAGACAGTGCAGCTGCCCCTCTTGGGCTGAGATTAATTGCTGGATGGATAAAGCCACAGTGATTGACAGATGAGTTGCAGCACTGAAGAGACATGCGAGAGATGAATGTGGAGCAGTTCAAAGGAAAATTAGCGTTGAGTGCTTGGAATTCCTCAAAAGAGATTTTGCCAGAACCAAACATTTGGAAGTTGCCGTGCAAAATAGGATTGTAGTGCATGAAAAGTAATCAACCAAAAACAGTGCGCGAGTTGTAGGTGTCACAGGTGTTCAGGCTTTTTTTGTGTGTGTGTGTGTGTATTCATTTGCCGGCATTGAAAACCAGTCAACACGCATCCATTCCCCAGTAAGTGTTCTACTCAGAGCAGTGCTATGGGTCTCACTAACACCTGCACACTCCAGGATGTTGGAAGCTGCCGCTTTGCAATTTACATTTTTCTTGTAGCTCATGTTGCCTCCATCTGTAGATGTGTTAGTGTGCAGAGATAACAAAGTAGTTCTACCTTCTGAATGTTCTATATACTGCATATGCTCACAATGACGTCTTTGTATGTTAAAGAGAAGAAGGACATAAAGGATCAATTCATGTTTCAGACCATCACTCAGAAGACTACAGTCATAAAATATGAAATCAACGTTTCAGCTCCAACTGTGATATATTTATTGTGCCACGTATGTTCAGTTTGGAATAATTTCTGATCATATGCCGTTGTCGTCATACATCTAACATGTTTAGTTAAAACGAAAAATAGAATAGTTGTTAATTTTAATGATCAATCAAGTGTACATAAGTTATTTTTACGCAATAATTTTAATTTTATTTTGCTAGATCGGACTTTTTAAATAGGACTATTGTGTTTGTTGTCATTGACAGTAAATGTAACATTTACGGGTTTTGGACTTCTGAATGGATTTGAAGACATTCATCTGGGCTTCGCGTAATTATGACAGAGATTTTCTCAATTTCTTACATTTTACAAAGCAAATAATTTCAGAAAATAAGCACACAAGTAACAAATAATGAAAATAACTGTCGCAGCAGTACGATACAGTCATTCCATTGTATTAGGATTTTTCTTCTACATAGCATTTGTCAAACACATTATACTTTTCTGCTTGGTGTTTTTGTGTCAAATATAATTCCCTTTAACCGTCCCTATCAGATTTTTTACACTTCATTTTGCCTTATTTAAAACGGTCTCATGCTTTTTTGGAGAGCGCGAGAGAGAGAGAGAGAGAAAGCACAGAGAGCTTTAAATGGCATGCTGCATTGCAAACTAACAAAAGCACCTCGACAAAAAAAAAATGAAGCCACAGGTAGTTTATGGGGCTATCATCTGATGGAATTATTTTCCTACTAGCTCCAGGTGCAGGGCCAGGATAAAGACAGTCTATCACCAGAGACCCAGACAGCTAATGTAGCATAAAGAGCAGCTCAAAATTTGCCCGTGGTCGGAGCGACCCTTTCTTGTAACTGGGTCCTGCTTAATGAACTACAAGGCGCCTTGAATGACAAATAAATTGTGTTTTTTTAGGCCAACACACTGCTCAATGCATCACTAATAAGGTTAATTTGAGTCCCACTGGGCAGAAGGCATTAGCCTAAGTGTTTATCCGCTTTAGCGCTGTCCCCTGTTAGACTGACAAAAAGAAACAGTGCTGGCAGTGTCATTAGAATGACACTAAGTAGAAGGTGAATGCCCAATTTACTCATCAAGTGTGAGCCAAATGAACAGGATGCAATCATGAATTACTTGCTGTTTTGTATATGCAACAGAGTACACTCGTTACGACTGTATTTGTGTGTGTTTTTGCATAAACCTTGCTGGTTTTTTTGGGGGAATGGAAAGAAGCTGTATAGGAATTACGGTGCGTGACACAACGAGAAATTTCACTGAAGATGAAACGGCAAACAGAGCGGCACATGTGCAATGAATTGCTCCATTGGTCTGTCAGGTTAGTTATGTGTGCGCCGTAAGTGAAATGTATGTTTCGAGGTCCGTACGTCCCATTTCCCCAAACTGATTACAATTGCAAATTCAGGTGAGCCCGACGCAGGACAATAGTCGTCTCCGACCGAATGATAGACCTCCTTAATTAAAAACGACACTTCTTTCAGAGACTGTTGAATGAATTTTATTTTTTTTTCTCCCACAGCCTCAGTGCTATTCAGTCAAAGAGACAGTTTATATAGCTAAACTGGAGGCTGCTGTTAAATTCACCAGGGCTACTGTTGCATACAGTGGACTAGATAAGCCTCATTTGAATAATTCCCATATAGCTCCGCCGCTTTATCTCGGAGTTTACCCATCAGAAACGAGTGGTGTTGTGCTTATAAAGTTGTCAGACGACACAGCCCCACTGTTAATCAATAACAAGCTTTTGGCACGGCATTGTATTTTGGTGCAGATATTATTGACATCCCTTCAGACTGTAAGATCTATAATAGGCTTTTGCCTTTGCAGAGAAATTGACATTTTGAAATCTTTTCAGTCCCACATTTTTTTGTTGTTGTTGTGTTTGTGAAATGGTTTTTTTAGCGGGGGTAAAGCAGAGCGAGCTACACCATGCTACGGGTTTTCAGGCTCCATGGGAGTTTATTGTACAGTAGCAAGAAAAGTGAATGGCTAAGCTTCACTTCTTGTGTGGGGGGTCTAAATCCCAAGTCCATTAAATCACTCTGTATAACAGATTAGCCGGAGCCTATTAGTTGAAAAGAGTTCTGAGATTTCCCACTCCCACACGTATTCTCCGAGTCAGTGTGGCACCTTCAAAGTCTTCATTACCTGCTATAAAAACCAAACACTTTCAGGGTAGTGAGTAACAGGCCAATCTCTGGGACAGGATGTAATTAAGAGGAGGACGTCGGAGACAATACCAAGTCTTTATCGGAGAAATCTCAGGAGGGGTTGCGCGCCAGAAAGACACACGTTCGAGAGACAGAATGGAAACAAGGTTGTTGCACTTAAGTCTGCCGTGCTGCGAAAGATTTCAGACGAGCGTTCGCCGTCATTAACAGTCGATTTCAAAGTTCGTCCAAATTGCGGAGAGAAATGCTAACCGGCGCCATTAATGTACACACAGAGGGAGCGGGTCCAAGATTGCCTCTGCAGCAGGAGTATCTGAAGATGGATATTGTCTACTGGGTGCCAAGACTATTTTGGGAGCCCGAGCCCCTGAGTTGTCCCTGGGCACCCTCTGATCAGCTTTGTCATCAGGTGTGAGAGCGACTACACACTCAGTAGGAGAGTGTGGATACATCCCGACACTCACACCTCACCAAAGTAATGGGTGTTTTTCGCTTCTCCTTTTTTTTTTTTTTTTTAAGATAAAAGAAAGAAAGACAGAGAGGTGCAGCTTCTCTGTCATTTTACTCCTTCATTTCTTGTAGAAATTGGAAACATAGAGAGGTCGGGAGACTTTCTGAAGATGTTATCCATGGTGACTTAAAAGCTGGTGACAGGTTTAGTTGTTAAACTACAGCACTTGTGTGTTTTTGGATGCATCCCAACTGCAGGAGACGATGTGATGGGTCATTTTAATGCGCATAAGCAGGAGTTGATTGCTTACATCTCAGGACTGTAACATTCCAGCTCCTGTTGGTGTAACAGTGCCGTGTTTCTCCATTTAATCCATCTCTCCGTGCCTGTTTTCCATGTTTGATGGAACATGCGTGCGCGTCTGCTTGTTTATTCCATTTCCTATCTCATTGCCTTTTCTGCTTACCTTTCCATTTCTCGTTGCGCGGCAGATCCACAAGCTGGAATGAATTCTGCATCGCGTGCTTTATTGTTCCCACACACACACAACCTACACACACACACACACATTAGCACCTCTCTTTTATTTACTTTTTCCCGGTGAGTGTGTGCGCGCATGCATGCGTGTGGATGAAGTCGCATCCTGGAGAAGTTTTTGCAATGCGTGCGTCAAAAGTACGTGAGGATTGTGGCGCATTGGTCGGCTGTAGTCAGTGCTGAATGAACGGAAGGAGGAGGGAGATCATACATTAACTCCTGCTGGCTGCGGGGACTCTCCAGTTGTCAGAAGCCAAGACAGAGGGACACACTCAGCGCAGAGCTTTTTGAGAAACAAGGGGGCGACAAATGAAACCCAACCGAAAATCCACTTAATTTCTTTTTCATTTTTTTCTTCTTCTTCTTCTTCAGAACCTCCCCCTCTTGTTTTTTTTTTTCTCCAGGAGATTTTTACGCAGCGCAAAAAGAGTAAAGAAAACGCCGCAGAGATGAGTGTTGCGTGGTTTTACGTGCCCCTGAAGGATCCCCTCTCCTGATAAAGGGACCAAAGAGGACAAAACAACAAGCCTGTCCATGATATTTTCCAAAAGAAGATCGCAAAGGTGGAGCGATTAGAGAAGGGCTGATGAAGGGACTATTAATCCTTTCAGTGCACCAAAAGCACCAAAGGGTATTAGAAACGTTTGGATGGAAATCGGGCGAGTGTTTGGAATTGTTTTTGGTTTTATATGAAACTGGTGATTAGTAGTTGTTGTGACACACCTGAAAGGATTGTTTTGTGGTGTTTTTTTCCCCCTTCTTCCACTTAAAGATTCTAAGAAGGAGTAAAACATTTTCTTCTTATTTTCTTTCACCGAAAGGTTGTGTGGCATGAGCGGGTTCTCCGTGTGAATTTTCAGAAACTCTCATCTCTTATCTCTACACATTTTTTTCTTTTCAAGTATTCCTAAATCTAAATGGAATTAGTTGAGTCTGAAGCCGTTTGTGAAAGGAACAGACATGGTACATGGGCACAGCTTCCATCACGGTAAGACATCCGTATTCATCAGCTGGAGCTCAGAAGCTCTTTTTTTTTTTTCTTTTTTTTTGTGTTGCATGCCTTACCCCCAACGCAAAAGAAGTATAATAATCCTTTAAGCAGTTTAAGAGGGATGCTAAATATCTGAGCAACAGATCAAACTGAAAACAGGAGCAGAATAGTGATTTGATTGGCAAAATAAGTGTGGGGATGTGATACAGAGACGCACTGCATCCTACAACCTGTAAACTCACTGTTGAAGGTCACTATGTAAGTTCTCTTTGTGGTTTTCTTTTTTTTAATATTCAGCTTTATTCTAGGGGGGTTACTGTATATGCAGAAACTACATCATGTGTTATAGTTTATGATGTATTTAGTGTAGTGGTCCATTTTTATTTTTTAGCTTTTTTTTGCCATTTTTGTGACAGTTTTTTTAATGGTTTAGTTAAAACTTATGGCTTATGAGTTACAGCACCTCTGTGTATATTATGAGGGAATACACCCTCATTATTATAGGCATTGTGTGCTTTTTTTTTTTTTTAAATCGCTCTTTATCATGTCAAAATCTTCCATTAAAATTGTATCTATCTTTGTGTTCTTACAGTTGTTGCAAGTCTACTCATACTTGGGTTGTGTGGGGCAACAAAGAAGGATCCAGCAGGTAATCTCCATCACCAAAGTACCTTTTTTTTTTTCTGCCCAAACATCTTCTATTTCAAAGCTTTAATCTCTCCGTTTTGCCGTATATGTGTATTTTAGTGAAAAACAATTCGGGAGTGAAACCTGCAGGTCAATGTGGAACGTGGGTGAAAGAACCAGAAGGAGGGCTCTTCACTTCTCCCAATTACCCAAACAAATACCCCCCAGACACAGAGTGTGTTTACATCCTTGAAGGTAAATATTCTCTTTAAACGCAGCAGCAGGGGGAAAAAAAAAAAAGAGAGAGAAAAAAGTCAATGTGATGTAGCTATTTATTCTCAGCTAAAGCATTCCTGGGGTTCTCCTGAGGAGAAAATCACAGTAACTGCTCAGTGAATGATGAGATGTGTTGGTTATTAGACACCAAGTGGCCACTTCTTTTCTCGATTGTTAAAAGATGGCATTTGATGAATCAGTGCACATAATCGGATAAAAAAGAAAATTTACCAAAGTGAATGTGGAACTAACAGCTCTGGTGTTTTAGAGATGAATTGACTAACAGCCAGGATTGGAGGTGTGTATTGACTGTGTGGGCGTGCTGATAATGAAACAGGTTGAACGTTCATCAATGAAAGTATGACTAATATTTTATTCCATGCTTTCATGATGGGCACTAATTATTTCCATTGTGTCTCCCAGCTCCCCCGAGGCAGTGTATTGATCTACACTTTGAGGAGAATTATTCAATCGAGTCCTCTTGGGAATGTAAATTTGACAACATCGAGGTTCGGGATGGACCGTTTGGCTTCTCCCCGATTCTCGGACGGTACTGCGGTCAACACAGCCCGCCTGATATCAGGAGTAGCGGCCGATATCTTTGGATAAAATTTGTTACAGATGGTGAACTGGAAGCAGTGGGATTTTCAGCAAGTTACAACTTCACCGCAGGTATGTTTTTTTTTTTGTAGCTGTTTTGCCTAACTGTCTCCGTCAGTTTATTTTTCCCCTCCTTGTAAGCATATCCATGCTTTATAGCTCCAACAGCAAGGATCCAAATGAATAACAAACATCATCCAGAGAACTCGGCCTTGTGGGAGCCTCTTGCAGCTTTATTGATTGTCTGTCTGCACACACTCTCTATTTCCATTGGCAGTGTGCTGTCATTGGCTGGGACACTCTTGTAGCTGGTTAGCCTGTTATTTCTTTTTCTCTCTATATTTGGAGCCAACAGTGTCATCGGCAGACCTCTTCGGTTTTATGGAGAGCGGCGAACCAATCTGTGCTGTCGAACACAACCGTTAGTAATTACGGTTATGTGTAAAACCAAGGCTTTGGTAATTTGCCTCATCTTTGGTTAAGATCCCATTACTGAAGCAGCGTGAGGATTGATGACGAAGAATCAGGGCATAACAATGATTTAATATTCCTTCACCCACACTTGACTGGGTTTAATAACACTGTCAACTTTTTTTTGGTGTGTTCGGGGCTGGAAAGGCACAGCGCGAGGAAACATAAAGGGTATGCCGATTTGTCTCCACATCCACTGCACCTTCAGGGTCGTTTCACTATTGAATATTTGAGTGTGTCATTGTTTATATGATGAACACGTATGGACTACAAAGAGCTTTCATCTGGGGAAACATGATACAAGCTGCACGCTATTGAAAGGGAAGGTACCGAGGTGAACAGGGGGTTATAGATTTATCTTTAAAGACTTTGCACGTGTCGTTATTGCGAAATCACAGTGATGAGTGGGAAAGAAATGCAGCTCGTGGCAATGAAATCTGGTGATGATTAAAGCGAAGGGCTTCACAGCATTGACTGTGAAATAGAAGGTAAATTGCTTATGCAAAACTACAGCAAGGGAAAAACTGGTGTTGCTCAATTGATTGATGTAATCACAGTAAAAGTTACAGTGTTACAGTGTGATATTTTCTGCATAATTTAGAAAGGAGCTCGAAAGAATGGAGGGGAAAAAAAAACACAAAAATAAAACATGAATTGACACGATTTCAAGAGCGTGTCAGGCAGAGTTATGTTCTCTGCTACGGAGATGCTGTCTGCTGAGGCATGAATCTCTTATCCTGCAGCTGTGCTTTACACATCAATTGCTCCATCAGCTTCATTTTAAGTTTCGCTCTTTAGAAATCTACTTGTGATTTTGCTAATGTGTTATTTGGGGCTCTTCAGCAGCAACACCAGCTGAGTAGCTAAACATTTACTAGGTTGTAATGTGAAGGGTAGCTCATATTAAGTGAGCTCCCAATAAAGGAATAGTTCATCATTCTGCAAAATAAGCTTACTGGTACTTCTGCAAAGAAATACACTGAATTCGAAGAAATAAAGCAGCTGATGTCTTAGCGTAAGAAAGCCGACCAAGTTTTCACTTCGCGTCATTCACTGGCACAGATCTGACCACTGGTTCTTTTGTGTAGTCAGTGTCGAGTCAACCCAAACAGCCAGTTTTAAGCTGCGTTAGCTGGAAATTCACGCCCCCCAGCCCAAGTGTGACAGTGTGTGTGTGTGTGTGTGTGTTAGCCCAGCTTCTGGCTGATCTCAGAACTCCAGTTCTTCCTGTTATTTCCCTCCACTTTCTCTCCCCTTTCTTCTCGTCTCTGTATATTGATGAGGTAGCCCGGGGAAGAGCACAAATTTCACTCAAGGGGAAACATTTCCATTTCATGCTGACGCATCTTCACCTCAGTTCACACCTCAACAGGCTAATCTTGCCCATTGTGTCATTCTGTTGACTTTGCATTGCGAGTGTGCCACGTCTGTAATTTGCCTTGCGTCTGAACACACTATAATGTTGAACAATTAACGCACTGGATCTTGTTTTTTTGCGTAGTAGAACCACAATTTGGTTTTTATGTGACTAACCAAGCTGCTAGTTGTATGACTTCATAATGACTGTACAGACAGTTTTCTCATCTCCTGACACAAAAGCCAACAAGCACAATGAAAATAAGGGCAAATATTTTCTTTAATAAATGTGAGCATTAAATATGACTGCATTTTAATGGTGGCATTTTCAGTATATACTTCTCTGATGCAGTGAAGGTAGTCTGCTCAACTGTCTCCCCTATTGAGTGTGAAGAAAAATTGAACTACAGTATAAAATCCAATTAAGAGCACTACTGCAGCATCCAAAAATGTAAGAAAAAAAAGAAGAAAAAAAAGCACTATACACGAAGGATCATTTGTTTTTTTATTCCCTCCTTGATAATCCAAGATAAGGAATCCAGACTTCTTTTCCTGTAATGTGCAATTGAAGTATTGTTCCCTTTTCATGCTCCTCTCGCGAATCTCATTGAAAATTTGCTGAGAGCAAAGAAAAAAGCGTTGCCTCTCGACTTGATAGGAAATATCTGTGGCATATGATTTGCATAATTAAAGAAGATAAAAGTCTTGAATTCACTCGACTTGATACTCTGAAATCTGGCAATGTGAATAGCGTCTCACATCTGCAGCTGCTCTGCTAACCATGCTAATTCACACAGCCCTCCTCTGATGAATGGGAAGGAGAAAAAAAAGTGGCAACAAAGGTGAGATGAATCAGCTCCTCTTACTCTCTTTCTTCAGTCATTTTAGGAACAGGATGTTGAAAAAAAACTCTTATGCCTCTTCTACACATTCTGCCAGCATCTTTTCAGAGCTTTTGTGCTCTTGATGACTAATGCTGTTAGTAAAGCAGTCGGTGAATGAAGAACCATTGACAGGAATCTCACAATATCTAGTGTCATGCACTGAGATGCTTCAACGAGGCCCTTGAAGTGTGCAGACACTATGCATCCGATCACGTGTGGCATCAGAGGGAGTAAGAAACGCCGCTGTAGGAGATTCAAACAGAGCAGTGACTAAATGAACTTGGCTGGCCCAGTGATGTGATGCACAATTTATTTGTCAGAGAAATTACACCCTGATGCCTCATGCTCAGTCTCTTCTTGCGTCACAGAACTTTTACAGCAGGCTCTGTTCTTTTCCACTTCTGCATTGTGGCTTGTTTTTTAAAAGGACCTGAAATGTATGTAGGAGATTGGAAATGATGTGTATTAGAAAATCACATGTACGACTGTTCCCTGGTGAGTTAATTATAGTGACAATGACACACATGGCGTAGTGTCTGTATAGGGTTTATTGCAGGAAAGTTTACGAAGCCGTGGCAAGCTGCATATGTGACTCACTTTAGTTGCATAAGCACGCCTTGAACCACAGATAGGGAATACCTTTGTCTCCCAAACATGTCGACCTGCAGAAGAATCGTAGTCATTAGTGTACGCTCGACTAGGGGTGGGCTTGTATCCAAGACATTCTTAATTTCACGTCTACTTTTCAAAGGAATTGCACACATTGTGTCTTTACTAACCGGCTAGCACCGTCCCATTCCATCTTGTGTTTTCCTACCTTCAGGTTGGCAAGCCTGTCACTTCAGCTCAGGACACCGTGTTGTCGGTCCTCAGCTGCCTCCCCAGTGAGTCTCTCGCCCTGCAGACAGATTCCAACTCCGCCGTCTTGGACTGCAGCTGGTGATTGTAGTCCTTGTTCTGCCCTCCAGGACAAACGCTGAGAGCTGGAGGGTCACTCCAACCAGAACTTGCAGCAGATGGAGAATTGGTTCATGGGCCGCTATGCCAACCTCAAAAAGGTTGCAGAGCAGAGCAAAGACACTAGAAAGTCAGCTTGTGATGAGATGACCGACCAACGTCACCCGCTGTAGTCCGAGTCGGTGGAGTTGTTGTCCATCTGTGGGACGTAAGATCTACAAGACAGGCAGCCGAGTGACATCAAGGACCGCCTCGGCAGCAACCTGGAACCATTAAGTGTATCCAGGCAACCATATGCACAACTATTCATCGCACAAGTTCAGCTAAATTTGCAGGAAGAATTGTGATTCACATTGTAGGTTGTGACTGAACCCTAAAAGATTGCGATATGATCTTCTGACCAGATTGTACATCCCTAAACTTCAGTAAGATCAGTTTGGCATTTGGATCATTGTTTGGGGCTGCTTTTGCTGAAACTTGGATAAGAAGACTGGTACTTGTCTCATAGTATAAACAATAAAAAGGCAGCAAGAATTGACTAGTGTGGTTCCAAAGGTGGCAAGATCTCTCTGCAGCATCTCTAAAGCTCACTAATTAACACAACGTATCTCATTTGCTTAATCCATACAAAGTAATTAAGTGCAAAACAACATGTTGTGGTTTAGGAGAAGGTTGTTTCTCTGCTGGTGCCCTGGCAACATCACAACAAGACTCCAACAAAGCTACCAGTTGCAGTCTTACACGAAGCTAAAAGGCAGTAAGTGACACCGGTGGTAGCTGCATGTTTAACGTACCGGCATGAGTGGCAGCAGTCTGCTCGTCTACGTCTTGGCAGGCAAGCAAGATGATGTCAAAAAGTCAAGCTATTGACAAAATGTGTTATGACTAATATCTAAACATATAATACTACTTTAAAACAGATCAGCTCTAAGTGTATCCCAAAAGTCATCTACTACTACTTGACACTTAAGTCCTTATATAAATGGCTGTTCAGTCAATTCAGAGGAGAAAGACAGGAGTAGGCACCAAACATCCCAAAACAAAAGTAGCTTAGAAAAGAACTAAAAGCCTCTGGCCTGTAAGGCGAGACTGTGTTTGATTTTGCAAAATAATTCCCAGGATGGCTTTTATTTTTTTTTGTTGTCTCATCCTTTCTGTCTTTTTCATTATTCTGTCCAAATACGTTCATGCCGGAAGAATAATTTAGTTGTGAAATAGTGGCGAAATGTAAAAGTGTGATTCTGAGCTATTGTCTGCGTGCTTATTTGTGTAGTGTGGTGATAGAAATGGAACCCGAGCATAATGAGTAACATGCAGCTGTCATAATAAAAAGCCAGCACTATAATAAGCTTGTTATTTTTCATGGCACATGTGAAGTTGCTTCCACTAAATTCACATCATCTC